AAAAAAAAAAAAAAAAAAAAAAAAAAAAAAAAAAGACTACATGAGTCCTTTCTCCCAGTAACGTTTAAAACAGTTTTAGCATCTAATGATGATTGACTGATTCCTTTTAAAGTTTTTATTCTGAGCAGGTATAATAATAAATTCTTTAGATTTGGTAGTTATTGATTTTCTTTGTTGTCTTCGCTTTAAAAATTTTATCTTGGTGATACATGCACATTATTAAGTGAAATAATGCTGCCTAATTTTATAATGAAAAAATAACAGTTCCTGTACTCCCTCCTTAATTGCCACCATTTCTTAGAGAAGTTATTTTTAAATCTTTTCCTTCTTTGATTTATAAGTAATGTACATTATGGTCATTTGCTTTTTGTAAATTGTGAGATCTGCATTAAATGTTTAGAAAATAAACACTCATAAAACCCAGCTTCGTCAAACCTTAATATTTTATGATGGTAGCTTCAGATTTTTTTCCAAAGAAATAAAATACTACAATTAAAAGCCCTAATTCCCATTTCTTCTTTCTCTTCCAGGACATAATCTACCATCCTATATTTCGTGTTTAGCATTGCTGTGCATATTTTTATCTTTAATTACATATTATATATTCATAAGAATATATAAGTTTTAATTCTGTATTCCTCCACAGTTTCCTTTTTTCCACCTAGCATATATGTGGCTCTAGTTTATATACTTTTCACTGTTGTATACTTTGTGTTATAGAAATACACCATAAATTCTTAATTTTCTGTTGATGTTCGTATGCATTGTTTCCAGTTTTCGATATTATGTTTTGCTTTATTACTGTTTTTTTCATGGTCATTCATTTATTTCACAATTGACTGTCATTACATTAGGCTGGGAGAGGAAGGAGTCATGCACCCCTGCTATTCTGTTGTCTTTCAGACAGAATTAGAATCCAGGTTCTAATTGTTTTTAAGATTGGGATCAGAGTCAAAAGAAGTTGACTGCTGCTGTTGGGTGTTGGGAGCTGCTTGGGAGAAGGACAGGAAACAGACATGGAGCTGACCATGGAGGGTTCATGTTCTAGGGCTTCCATCTGGGTACCTGAGGATCCTTCCTGATTAACATGGGTGGTGGGATGGCGAATTGTACCACAGTTCCTCAAGGTGAACAGGGATGGTACAGACCTGGGCTGGTACTCAGGAATTGGAAGGATGACCCGTCTGCACAGAGAGCACCTTCAAAGATGTTGTTGTGTCTGTATCACAGAATCCTTTGTTGGGCCTCCCCATAGGGACAGGGCCAGGGTTAACTCCTTGACTTCTGGTTGGCCTCATGAGTAGTGCAGTTATGGATGCTGCACCGTTGGAGACATTGTTGCCTGCTCTTCCTTATGCCACTCTGTTTCAGGCGGTGAGCAGTTGCTTTAGACAGTTCATGATTCGTCTTTCTTGTCACATTTAAGAAATTCGTACTCTTTTAGGAAACTTCTGGGATCTTCTGGGCACTCTGAGTTTTAATTGCTTCATTAAACCAGTTTTCTGGTTTCTTGGTTTCATTTTTCTCCTATACTTCTGGGAGGGTTCTAGTAATTTTATTCTAAAGTCTGACTCCATTTTTATTCCCGAGTTTTCTCCTGAGATTATTTTTACTGCTGCCACAGGGCCTAATCCAGGGTCTGCAGAGAACTAGCACTTAGAGTACCATAATGGAATCCAGGAGAGTCATAAGGTGTTCAAATGTAGAAATATGTTTGCTCCTCTCTGCTTCTGGCAATCTTCTTGTTTTTCTGTATTCTTGCTGCTGATACATGTCTTCCTAGGTGTATGTGAAAAAAATTACGTATGTTCTCTTAGGAGTAGAATTCCTGATTCTTAGGGTATGCTTATCTTCAGCTTTATAAGATAATGCCAATATTTTGCAAAGTGGTTATACCAATTTATACTTACTGCAGGAGTGTCTAAGTTTCCATTCTTGTATATCTTATTTAACACTTTGTGTTTAGACTCTTAAATTAGTTGTTAATCTGATAGATGTGAAATATCTTGTTCCTGTTTTGATTTGTCCTCTCTTTATACTTTTGCTCTTATCTATTGACTTGTTATTATGGTAGATGAGGCCTGAACTCTTTTATATGCCCCAGTCTCCTTTCCCCAGTTTCACAATTTGACAAAATTGTTTATCAGTGTTGTTATAACTATTATGACTGGTAAATAGTTTTGCCAAAACGAAGTCATGTACAAGGATTGCATTTCTTTTCTTGTACAACTATTTGCTCTCCCTGAGAGATTATTAATTGCTTTATTCTTTCATGTTTATGATTTTCTGTAAATGTATTAAAATTTTCAAACTTTTCCATCAGTTTTGCCTTACACCTGCCCTTTTTTCTCCAATTACTAAAATGTTTGAAGAAAGCTATCAGTTTCCCTTCTTTTTTAGAGATTTCGTGCCAGATCCCTCTGTTCTTCTCAGCTGTTCATCCTGGGATTTATTCTGTCTTCCTCGTATTCTCCTTATTGCTCTCCTATGTTGGATGTTTTGGGTTTTTTTTTTTTTTTTTCTTTACCCCTACCAGTTGTGCTGTGTATCTCTGTTGGATGTTTTGGATCCCACATCTTGCTCTTTTGCTGACATACAGAAGCTTGCTGTGTATGTGGCTATAATACATCATCGATTTGTGATACATACATGATATATAAGGGCATGCGGTTGGTAAATTTTTAGAATCTAAACCTAAAATGCTTATTATTCTGTCTCATGTGATTAGTAGTTTACCCAGATATAGAATTCTATGTTGAAGTTTATTTTGCTCACATTGAAAGTATTGCTTCATTGTGTTGTGTCATCTAATGCTGGTTTTGAGAAGTCCAGTAGCAGTCTGAATCTTCTTTGTATATGACCTGTTACTGTCTAGAATGTCTCTCCCAGTTTGGATTTCACTAATTCGAAGTTTTAATTCCTGATTGTGTGAAATTTCACTGTTGATTGTTGGGTTTTAAAATTTTTCTTATATCATTGTGTCAGTCACTTGGTGGACCATTTCGTTCTGGAGACTTGTATTCTCTTTTCTGGAGAAATTCTTTGGCTATTATTTGGTAATTCTCTTTACTGTTTTTCTTCAGGAACTCTTTTTATTTGGATGTTGAATTTCCTGGATTGACCTAAGTCCCTTTTCTTTTCAATTTTCCATTTCAGAATTTTTTTTTGTTTGTTTGTTTTTTGAGACAGAGTCTCACTCTGTTGCCCGGGCTAGAGTGCCAAGGCATCAGCCTCAATCACAGCAACCTCATACTCCTGTGCTCGAGGAATCCTGCCTCAGCCTCCCAAGTAGCTGGGCCTACAGGTGTTAGCCACCATGCCTGGCTAATTTTTTATTTCTATTTTTAGTTGCCGGGCTAATTTTTTCTATTTTTAGTAGAGATGGGGTGTCACTCTCACTCAGGCTGGTCTTCAACTCCTGACCTCAAGTGGCTAATAGAAAAATTAGCTGGTGTGGTGGCGCATGCCTGTAGTCCCAGCTGCTCGGGAGGCTGAGGCAGTAGGATTGCTTAAACCCTGGAGTTTAAGGTTGCTGTGAGCTAGGCTGATGCCATGGGACTCCACCCCACGTGACAAAGAAAGACTCTGTCTCGGAAAAAAAGAAGATAATAATAATAATGCTGTAATGCTTTTAATTTATTGGAAAATAGGGGATTTTCTGCAAATGAAGAATCAGTAGGAATTTATGTTTTCCTTACAATGATTTGTTACACATTTCTTTCATATAAGTTTGTGGGAATTAGGAGAATTTTAACTAAATTACTGATGTGATCTTAAATTTCTTTTAAAATTTTTTTGATAACATTAGTAACAATTTTTCTTTTTTTACTTCTATGCTTTGTTTTTTTTCCCCCAGTGGGAATATAATTGTGCTCTTATTTTCATTAAAAATTATTTTAGTTTGTTAAATGTAATGATTTCCCCTCCCCTCCCCAGAAATGTGGTTTGGTCTTGAGCTGGAAGAGAGTACAAGGTGCTTCTGGAAAACTTCAAGGTAGGTCATGTTTTCCTTGTTTGTTGATCACTTTAACCCGTATGCTTAAATCACTTTGCATGATTTACTTTCATTGTCCTTAACAACTCTTTCCTTAGCACTCTTTGCCTTTTTTACTGGAGTAGGATTAAAAGGCAGTTGGGATGGTGTTGGCTGAGAGTTGAGATTAGAAGGTGGAAATGTAACAGGAAGGTGAAAGGAGAGGAAGAAATTAAAATTCCTTAGATTAACTGGTTTCTTATATTTGAAAAAGTCCTTTTTGTCTCAGCAGTACTATATGATCAAGATGGAACAATTAGAACTTAGGAAGAGAGCAGGAGAAAAGATAATCAGATAGCCCATTACTCTTGAATGCAAACTGTACTTTTCATACTTGTTGGTAGAAACACCTGTTTGATATAATTTTTTTAACTTCATTATGGAAAAATTCATACATACATAAAATTAGAATAGTGTGATGAATTCCCATTTATTCACCACCTAGGTGTATCAACTCATGGCCAATTGTATTTCTTCTGTACCCTATCAATTTCTTCCTCTTTATGTTATTTTAAAGCAAATCTCAAGCACCAGATGATTTTGTGTATAAATACTTTAATATGTATCTCTAAAACATAAGGGCTTTAAAAATCATATCCAAAATACACATAAGGACTAAGAAAATTAACTGTTTTTCCTATCATTAACCATTTTTCCAATGTCCATTTTTCTCCAATGTCAATTTTTTTTGTTGTTGGTTTTGGTTGTTTTTTTTTTTTTTTTTTTTTTGAGACAAGAGTCTCACTCCGTTGCCCAGGCTAGAGTACTGTGGCATCAGCCTAGCTCACAGCAACCTGAAACTCCTGGGCTCAAGTGATCCTTCTGCCTCAGCCTCCTGAGTAGCTGGGACTACAGGCATGAGCCACCATGCCCGGCTAATTTTTTCTATATATTAGTTGTCCAGCTAATTTGTTTGTATTTTTAGTAGAGATGGGGTCTCGCTCTTGCTCAGGCTGGTCTCGAACTCCTGAGCTCAAATGATCCACCCACCTCGGCCTCCCAGAGTGCTGGGATTACAGGCGTGAGCCACGGCGCCCAGCCTTCTTTTTATCTTTCAAGAGAATGAGCTGGTGTCCTCAGAGTTCTCTAGCTCCCTGTGGATTTTTTTTTTTTTTTTCTTTTTCCTGAGACAGAATCTTGCTCTGTCACCCAAGCTAGAGTGCAGTGGTGTCATCGTAGCTCACTGCAACCTCCCTGGGCTCAAGTGATCCAGCCTCCCTAGTAACTGGGACTACAGGTGTGCGCCATCACACCTGGCTAATTTTTTTTTCTATTTTTTGTAGAGACGGGGTGTTGCTCTTGCTCAGGCTGGTCTCCTGAGCTGGAATGATACTTCCACCTCGGCCTCCCGGAGTGCTGGGATTATAGATGTGAGCTACCTTGCCCAGCTCTTTTTTTTTTTCCTTTTAAATCATTTGGAATTTGTGAATTGAAACATATTTAATGTTATTATATTTAATATGGATTAATTGTAGTTTTTACTTCTATTAAAGCTTTTATCTGCCTTTGCAGGTGGTTTTGACATGACCCTAATTGCCTTTGATAGTTTCCTTGTTACCTGATATGACAAGATGTTCCAAGCTCATCTAGTACTTTTTCAGCTCCAGACTTGGAATCAGCCAGTTCTCCAAGGAGCTTTGGAAAATTATTTTGAAAATTATAATCTTGGCATTAGGTACACTCATCGTGCAACAGTGGTTTGGTGTTTGTTTTTAGGTTTCCCCCTGATTCCTAAATCAGAATCAGGACCAAAAGGTTTTAATTTAACCTCTTCTTTCATATTTCTCTCACACTGAGAATCCTAAGTTTCAAGGACACTGGGGATGATAGAATATTAAGTAATTACTTACTTGCTTTATCTCACACATAGGACAGTTTCAGACTAGTATTACCAGTTCTGTCATTAACAATACGATTATTGAAAGTTACTTTTTGTTTTTTTTTTTTGGAGATAGAGTCTCACTCTGTTGTCCGGGCTGGAGTGCTATGGCGTCATCCTAGCTCACAGCAACCGCAAACTCCTGGACTTAAGCAATCCTTCTGCCTCAGCCTCCCGAGTAGCTGGGACTACAGGCATGCGCCATCATGCCCGTCTAATTTTTTTCTATATATTTTTAGTTATCCAGCTAATTTCTTGCCCTTTTTTTTTTTTTTTTTTAAATAGAGACGAGGGTCTCGCTCTTGCTCAGGCTGGTCTCGAACTCCTGAGTTCAAATGATCTGCCTGCCTCGACCTCCCAGAGTGCTAGGATTACAGACATGAGCCACCACGCCTGGCCTGAAAGTTACCTTTTTAGGGAGCAGGTCTTTTTGTGATTAAAAATGTGTGGTCAAATTTGCTGTTTCAATATCACTCAAAATGGTTCCTCTCTCTGTGATTGTGTCATTAACTGTATACATATTTAGATTCATTTGTTTAATTTAAAAATTTTTGATTGCTTTTTAATTTTTTTTTTTTTTTTAAGGGGACAGTATCTCACTATGTTTCTCAGGCTGGCCTCAAACTCCTGGGCTCAAGCCATCCTCCTGCTTCATCCTCCGCAGTAGCTGGGACTACAAGCGATAGCCACCACACGTGTCTTAATTTTGTTTTAATAACCACTTTTGGTCTAAAGCTATGTTAATAGTGAGATTGACTAGTTATAAAATGAAATATAGAAAAAAAATAGGTACCTAGAATAAAAGATCACTAATTTTGTAATTTAACATCTCAGAATTAAAAAGTGCTTTATATTTAGGTTCAAGCAATCTATTCTTATTTGTGACTGTTAGGAAGTCTGGATGGAATCAATTCATGAAGTAATTAAGAATCATTTCAGGTGGGGTGTAGTGGCTCATGCCTATAATCCTAGCACTGTGAGAAGTGGGAGGATTGATTGCTTGAGCTTAGGAGTTGGAGACCAGCCTGAGCAAGAGCAAAAGGCTCTTCTACTAAAAATAGAAAAACCAGCCAGTGTTGTCATGTCCCCTGGTAGTCCCAGCTACTTGGGAGGCTAAGGCAGGAGGATTGCTTGAACCCAGGAGCTGGAGGCTGCAGTGAGCTATGTTGATGGCACTGTAATTTAGACGGGCTGATAGAGGGAGACTCTGTCTCCCCCCCCAAAAGAATCATTTTAATCATGAAATTCTAATAAGTAGCAATTTGCCTAATTTTAATTTTTCTTCTTTTCCCGTTACTGTTTTTCTATCTTTTTTCTTTTTCTTTTGGTTGTTTGAAGGTGCCGAAAGTGAAATGGTTATCAAAGGGAATTGAAGGACAGGGGTGGAGTGACAACTTGAGTAATTGTTAACATGTGGTCTCTGGTGATTTTAGTTTTCCATAATTTTTAATTTTTCCTAATTGTATCGATATCTCACTAATTCTTTACATCCATTGCTAGCCTTCGGATTCTGTGAGTATAAGGAGCCTGAATCAACCCTCCGTGCACTCAGATTGTTGCATGATCTGCAGATTGGAGAGAAAAAGCTACTTGTTAAAGTTGATGCAAAGACAAAGGCACAGCTGGATGAATGGAAAGCAAAGAAGAAAGCTTCTAATGGGGTATGTTTTCTGTAGTATTATTTGTTTAGGCCAGCTGTGCTATTTCAATGTAAATACTTTTCAATAAATGAATCTAATATGGGGCTTCACAAGATCATCATAATATGTGCTTGTGGCTTAAATGCAGGAGGGTATTTTATAGTTTGTAGTTATTTTAAGCCTTTTGTCTACCCACAGTGGGTGGATGACTGTTGGTTTGCTTGTTCCAGGTTGGGATGAAGGTAGTAAGGGAGGCTGGACAAGGTTAACTTGCCAGAGAAAACACTGGTACAGACTATTCCAAACAGAGCTTATTCATTAAGGCAGCTTTGTAAGTAAGTACAAAATATTTCAACCTACACAATTTCTATTAGTTGCCCTCTCTTTTAGAAGTACCCAGATTCTGAGATGAATGAAAATAAGTTTTATTTCCTTTCCTCAGCTAGATGGCTTTATTCAGGCTTATATTAAGTAAAGCTAAAGCAAAGGAAATTTTTGTATGTTGTGTTGTAACGTGTGCATTATCATCCCCTCTCAACAAACAAAATATAGCTAAAACTTGAGTGTTTATTTCCTGATTTCCTCTTCCTAGTTCCTTTTTGGAACCTTAAACTGAACAACTCCAAGATAGATGTATTATCATCTTCTGCTCCCAAAAGAAAAAAATCGAGAGTAGCCTTTTGCTCTCATCAAACTTTGAGTATCTTTCAAAATAGAAATAGCTTTCATGTCCCTCTTCCCTTTTATAAACACATTATATGGTCTTTGTAAAGGAAACAAAAAAACCTCAAAAATTAAGCAAAGTATAAATAAGAAATTAAATGCCACCCATAATCCCATCATCATAAGTAAACACTGTAGACATTTTGATTGTTATGTTCTTCCAGAAGTTTTCTCTGGGTAAATGAATACAGTTTAACTGGAATATGTGAATTTGTTTTCCTTTCATAAAAACAGGATTGAATTTTAAGTATTGTTTTATAAATAGCTTTTTTGCCCACTTAATTCTGTCTTTCCTTGGACTTTTACTGATTCCTTACCTGATTTCCCTGTGTTTAGTTTAATCTGTTACACTACTAAGTTTCTAAAACATAAGTAAAATTTTGTCAGACTCTTGCTAATTATGTCAAATCCATCCTTAATGGTTTTGGATTTCTTAAAAAATAAAGCCCATATTTTTAGCATGGCACTCAAGGCTTGCTCCAGTCCACTTTTTTAGCTTCCTCTTTCCCTCCCTCTCCATGTACCAGTCCATGTAACCCTACCAGACTCCCTTTTTGCTTTGCTGGCTTCTCGTGTCTTTGTTGCCCATCCAAGCTTCCTGTTAGAATTCTATCCACAGTTATAATTAATATGTCTCTTGATTCATACAGCCTTCATTAACCCTACCCTCAGTTCCTCTCTTCCCATATAAATTTGCAGATGTATGTTAGTCTTTTTTGTAGCACATATTGTTTATATTTCTTTCTGTCATAGCCTTTTGTAACCTTTCTCATTCCCATATCCTCCTTCACCCCGAATCTCTAATTACAAGTAGAAAGGGCAATAAGTTCATGGACTCTTATTTGTTCTTGTACCTCTACAGCACCCAGGACAGTGTCTTGCATACAGCAAGAATGGAACGAGCATTTATTTACAGTTGCAGTTATGTTATTCGCCTTACTGTCCACACTCAGCTTCATAAGAAAATTATATTAATAAAATATAATTTCTGTGGAATATAAATTGTATCTCAAATGAACAGTATTGCCTATCACATCACTAAAACCTTAAGAAAACAGAAATGTTTGCAACAAGTATTTTCAGATTTTCCTTGCTGTGGTAGGTAACTGAGCACTTATCTGAAAGAAAGGATCAGCCGGGTGTGGTGGCTCACACCTGTAATCCTAGCACTCTGGGAGGCCGAGGCGGGAGGATCGCTTTAGGTCAGGAGTTCGAGACCAGCCTGAGCAAGAGTGAGACCCCCGTCTCTACTAAAAATAGAAAGAAATTATCTGGACAGCTAAAAATATATAGGAAAAATTAGCCGGGCATGGTAGTGCATGTCTGTAGTCCCAGCTACTCAGGAGGCTGAGGCAGGAGGATTGCTTAAGCCGAGGAATTTGAGGTTGCTGTGAGCTAGGCTGACGCCATGGCACTGTAGCCCGGGCAACAGAGTGAGACTCTGTCTCAAAAAAAAAAAAAAAAAAGAAAAAGAAAGAAAGGATGGAATCAGTGTCTTCAAAGTTACCTAGTTTTCTAAGACTCACTGTTTTATTGGATTTAATGATTGGTTTGTGAGGCGGTTTAATTTGTAGCATCTGCAAATGGTATACTAAAAAACTCTGAAAATGAAGTAAATCACTATATATAAATAAGGAAGTACACAGTTGTATGTCTTTGAATTTTATTTGTAATCATCAGCCAGAGTAACCACACTTTAAATCTGTTTATATGTTTCTTCAAGAAAAACCACCTTCAATAAAAACATACAGAACAATTATTTCAGATAAAATGAAATTAAAACAATTAACAGACATCACTTATATGTTTTATTGTTCCAAATGTTATATGTATGTTTTCTAGGTGTACTTTACATTGTGCCCAAAGGTACTTGAAGTCACAGGATAAACATGGCATATTTTCCTGCAATGTCAATTTTACTCAACAATATACATTTAAAAAATTGGACAATTTTATCTAATATAAATTTTTTTCAATTAACTTAAGCAAATATAACTATATAGTAGGGTAGATTGCAGATTTGCTATGAAATTTCAAGATAAAATATGAGAGAGTGCTTGTTCATTCTCCTTTATTGTCGATTAGTTGGGGAAATTTAGAACGCTGTAATTTACTTAGGTAGATGATAGGAGAAAGAAACATTTTGAACCTATGTGTTACTTTATCCAGACATTTTCCTGACTTCCAGGCAGACGAGAAAACACAATTAGCTGTATAGTTCTCACTGACTGAGAGAAATGTGAGTTTGTCTAGGAGAGTAGATAGTTTTTATGATACAGAATTTTAGGAGGAATCATGTGCTTTATCATATGACTTGATGAAAAATTTTATTTAAATTTTGCAGAATTTGTAGAAGCAACTACAAATTGCTTTTCTTTCCATTTCTTATTGACCTTTCCTAGAAGCATTTCATTTGAGGTGGCCATGCTATAATCTAGTCCATGTCCTATGGCTTTGTGACTGTTTAGCAATAATAGCATAGGAGAAGATGTATCTGCTTGATTGTCATAAGTTCTAGTTTTTAACCATACATTCAAGAATGAACTCTGATGCTTGTTGGAGATACAGATATTTTCTAGAAAGAGCATTACAAATACAGATATTTTCAGAAAGAGCATTACATTCTAATAGAAGACAGATGCTCCGAGTGAACATCTTTGCCTGGAAATTAGTCTTGTTGAGTCTGCATTTTCTCGGAAGAACTACATTTGCTAAGTTCTCAAAAAGGTTCTTGTTTTGAACTCCAGAAATCAATGTGCCAAAGAATGAGCCCAGAAGAACTGTTTAACTTCACAACTATTAGCTTTACTGTTAAAACTTTTAATTCTTCTGAAAAGAGCCAAATAGGCAGGCCACATAAACGTCTCAGAAAATCAGTTGATTTCTTTTTTTTGTTATTTATTTATTTGTTTATTTTTTCACTTTTACCCACACAACTACAGCTGCATAATCAGTTGATTTCTATCAGCCACTTGTACAGCTAAACCATTCACCTTTTGCTACCCAGTATTACTAAATATGCTTTCTGGTTTCTGAAATATAAGAAACTGGAAATCAACAAATCATTTATGGTTGAAGACCCAGAGATACAGCTTTAGATGAAACTTGGAAACCCTGTGGAATGATCTCTTTAACCAAAAATAGCTTTTCCTTCAGTAACATATCAGGTTATTTTTGTTTTTCTTACATTATCAATCAGTTAAGAGATTTGGGCTAATAAGCTTTCCTTTTGAAAATGTAGATTGAGGGGCAATTATTCATTTGAAAGGTGATGTGAATTAATTCATTCTAAATGCTTTATTTCTAATTCAGGTAAAATAGCCATATTGATATTTAAATTGTGGTTTACAATGGAGGGTAATAAACTTAGGGGCTATGGTTATTTTTTATGAGTAAGCCTTTGGAATTACAACCCCACTTCTATCCCTATGCTTAGAAAAGTATGGAGATAAGAGTGGCTCAGGGAAAGGAATTCAGAATGCAGGGGATATGCCAAAGAGAAACTGAAGGCTTTCTAATAAAGTATATTTTTATAATTTAGAATTAAGGTCTCAACAGCTGAGAATTTGGGTTGAAATAGCCATATGTGCCTCAAGATGTAAGGTTTCAGTGCCAGGTTATTATTGGAGGGTTAACTCTTTTTCATTATAAACCTTGGGGGAAGCAGGGTATCACTGAAGGAATTTTAGATGTGTATAAATTAAAGACCTTATTGTGATATATTATTGATTTAAAATAAGAAAGGACAACATCAGTGTAATTTTACTTTACTATACTGCTGGTAAATAATTTTAGTAGTTCAGTTATATCTCAGGTAAAGCATCTTGTCTTTATCCAAGATGCCAAGTAGAAAGTTGGTTACAAGAAGATTGGATGAAGAAGCAGGTTTGAGAAAGTAAGAAACTAATTTAGAGTGGTTATAATACCACATAATGCCTTATATTGAAGTTATCTGTATCATAACCCATCTCTTACCCTGTAGTGGAATTGCTTGAGGGCAGGGTTGTCTCTTTTTTCAATTTTGAATTTTAAGTCCTCTAGGGCAGTGTCTTTCACACATTATATTCTTAATAAGAATTTTTGAGCACATCAACTTAAGAGATACTTGTTGAATATGCATCCATTGGAGACAGCTTTCAGAATACTGACGGTTGAGTTATGAAATCACTGCTAGGTTATATTGTTAAGTAGCCACAAGGCATGAAACTCACCTTGAATAGAGTTGCATGCATTATGACTTAGAGCCTGGCATTTATTTGCAAGAATGTGGTTTTTGTATATATTTTTAAAAATGTGCACAGTATATGTTTACCAAGTAAATTCCTAAGTATTTTGGGATATGCACAAGAATAGCATTACATTAGAAGCCAGTAATTTTTTTTTCTCCACAGAGACAGAGTTAACAATCTAGACTTCTTCTCGTAAAGGACTATTATTCCCAGCTGCTTGGGAGGCAGAGGTAGGAGGATCTCGCTTGAGCCCAGGAGTTCGAATCCAGCCTGGGCAGCATAGCAAGACCTCGTCTCTTAAAAAAAAAAAGGATCAATAAAAAAGTCCCACAAATAATCAGTTACTTATTTGTGAGAAGCGTTACATGAATTTACATGTGTTACGTGTGTTTTTATTTTTTTATGTTAGATGTGTAACTCATGGAGTGGGAGATATTAGAGTTGATCCCTTAGTGTATAAGCGTATGCTTTTAAAAGTGGTATTCCTGCGTTATAAGAACTCGTAAAAACCAGTGGGGCAAAAAAGAAGCCTTCATTTCAGCTCCTAACTTCTCCAATTCTTGCATTTTTGATATATATATCTATCTAGTGTTTTTCTTATTTTGTTTGTTTAACCTACATATATACTTTTGCTCATTCTATATGGTGGCTATCATAGCATACTTAAAATTGTATTTTGCTTTTATTACATGACTAAATTTTCAACTGTTGAATGTCTTTGCAAGAATGAATGAATTAGTAAATATAGTTAGTAATTATCATTAGTTTGCTATTATTGAGCAAGACAATCTGAAAAATTGTGAAAGCTTTGCAGGTATATTGTTTAGTGTGCTAGTCCTGTGATTTAATGTTTTTATATCTGGTTGGGGGGCCAGGATTTTAGCTTTTAAGGGAAGGAAGAAAGAAGAAAAATGAAAAAAGTGCTAGTACCCGAGGAAAAAACAAAGTAAAACAAATGAAGCTTAGTTTGTGAAGTTAAGAACAAAACCAGTTCTGCATTTAATAGGACTATGGAGATATTTTGGAGAAAACATGTTTGCTTTGTTTATTAACTTGTTTTAGAATGATTTTCATTTTCCCTCTTGATTTTTCTTCTTCCTGAATTTGCCATGTTTTTTAAGAATGCCAGGCCAGAAACTGTCAGTAACGATGATGAAGAAGCCTTAGATGAAGAAACAAAGAGAAGAGATCAGATGATTAAAGGGGCCATTGAAGTTTTAATACGTGAATACTCCAGTGAGCTAAATGCCCCCTCACAGGAATCTGACTCTCATCCCAGGAAGAAGAAGAAGGAGAAGAAGGAGGACGTATGTGTTCTGACAACACAGTCATTTCTACAATTTATTTTTTATGATGTCACTCTGATGCCTTGATTATATTTTAACTTTTGAAGGGAAGATAGAATAACTAGGGTCTATAACAATATACAGGTTGAAAGAAAATGTTCGGTTCTCTTACACTTATTTCTTTTGGATATACTTAAGAGAAATTATAAGGACTATAATTTAAAAAATATTGGAAGTGTTTTATATACCATGAAAAAGTACTGTAAAATATATATTTACAGAAAAATATGTATACACAGTCAGCCCTCCTTATGTGGCTTCCACCTCTGTAGAGTCAACCAACTTGGACTTTAAAATATTTAGGGGGGAAAAAAAATAACAGTACAACAGTAGAAAATAATACAAATAAAAATCAACGTATACCAGCTATTTATATTACATTTGGTTGTATCAGATATTATTAAGTGATCTAGAGATGATTTAAAATATATGGAATGATGTGCATAGGTTATATGCTATTTTATTAATGTATAAAAGACTGGAACATGCATGGATTTTGATGTCTTTAGGGAGGGGTCCTGGAACTAATCCCCCATGGATACTAAGGGCCGACTGTGTGTGTGTGTGTGTACACACACGCATATAGTGTGTATAGAATCCTAATTTGACTGTGTTTTACCAACAAACTTCCTAATTTTCTGACCAAAATGTTCCTGTTATATATTTTGGGATGCTCTGGCATGGAGGTTTACACTTATTCGTGGACTAAATTAAGTTTAAAAAAAAAAAAAAAAAACCACCACAACAAAAACTTTGAATAGTGATGAAGTAGGAACTGATAATAAGGGGTAAAGTGTTGTGTTTTGCTTTGTTTTGTTTTTCTTTCTTTTTTTTTTTTTTTTTTTTTGAGACAGAGTCTCACTGTGTGGCCCGGGCTAGAATGCCGTGGCGTCGTCTTAGCTCACAGCAACCTCAGACTCCTGGGCTCAAGCGATCCTCCTGCCTCAGCCTCCCGAGTAGCTGGGACTACAGGCATGCACCACCATGCCCGGCTAGTTTTTTCTATATATTTTTAGTTGTCCAATTAATTTCTTTCTATTTTTAGTAGAGACGGGATCTCGCTCTTGCTCAGGCTGGTTTCGAACTCCTGAGCTCAAACAATCTGCCCGCCTCGGCCTCCCAGAGAGCTAGGATTACAGGCGTGAGCCACCGCGCCCGGCCGCTTTGTTTTGTTTTAACACAACATATTTGGCCTTATTTTGCTTTACTCCCTAATTATGGTTGTTTTGTCTCTAAGCCAGAAACCAGGTCTCATTCACTGACGATTTCCACCATTCTTTAATGTTTAGCTGCCTTTCCTTTTGAGACCATGTCTTATTTCCTCCGTGGACAGTAATGGTATCAAACATTAAACTGGAGGACTGTGAAAGAGGAGCACAAGTTGAAACAATCCTCCTCAGTAAATTGAATGCTGCCTCTTCTTCAGACTAAGCTAATTGATAGTAGGGAGTCCAGGTTGACAGCAAATGTTTGGTTTTCTTACACCCATTGCCTTTGGATAAACTTAGAGAAATTATGGGGAGTGCTCTTTAAAAATATTGGATGTATTTAGTGGATTGTGTAGGTCATTGAAAAGTACTATAAAGAATATATGTTATGATTAGTTATCAAGGGGTAGCGACAGTTCATATTATTTTTTTATCAGGGCTTTTTTTAGGCCATCTTCAGTTTTCTTTATGGCTAAATACATTTTTATAACTTGGCTTATTCTTCCTCATTTGGTAATAAAAATCTGTCTGGTGAGGTGCAGTCTCTTAGAAATGGGATTTAGTAGGGTCAGTAAGGTGTAAGGTAATGGAGGCTTGTAGGGTTCGTTTTTTCTTCTTCCTCCATTAATGGGAAAGGAGAAGAATAACTAGACATTTATTCGATTTGGGTTGGGAGTAGAGGATGAAAAATCTTGCCCTGTGGCAGGAATTATAGGTAAATTTTGTTGGTATGATTGTTTCCTGTATCTTAGAGGAGATGAGGGAGAAATTCTGCAATGCTCTCCTTATTCCATTGTTTGTGGGGGTGTTGGAGAGGAGGTGGTGGGTAATTGTAAAGAGCGAAATCATATTTACCATCAAATAATTTGAAATCAAGAAAATATAAGAAGTACTATATTGTTCACAGTATAAATGTATAGAGCATTGCTTTGCAGAGTAGCGTGAGCTTTGTTTTTGTTTTTTTAATCTTTGTCGGTTTTTCCGCAGATTTTCCGCCGATTTCCAGTGGCCCCACTGATCCCTTATCCACTCATCACTAAGGTTCGTTTAAATTGTAGGCTTTGACAATACCTGTGTTTCACTGCTAATTGCCAGTTTTGTGTTTCTTGTCTATCTGATTTTTCACTATTTAACTTCAAGTTGTTAGATTTGTTACTATAGATGTGTTTTATTTATTTATTTACTTATATATTTTGTATGACCTGTGCAAAATATCTACCATTTAACTTTTTATGTTGATGTAGATTGATCTTTATTCATTCCCTCCTGTCCCCTCTTGTCTTTTAGGAGGATATAAATGCTATAGAAATGGAAGAAGACAAAAGAGACCTGATATCCCGAGAGATCAGCAAATTCAGAGACACACACAAGGTAGTATTCTTGTTTTTTCACTTGATACCAATCTAGACTTTTTACAGAATCCAAAGCAAACAGACAAAAAATTCAACCTTACATTAGAATATAATTTTAAATGCATTTTATAGGTTTAATTGATATATAGATAGAAACAAAGAAACAGAAGACCAATACCATATTAAAGTGGTCCTTGACATAGTGTGCTTAGTTTTTTCAATTACTGACTACTCTGCAGTCATCTCACTTTAATATGAATAAAAGCTAACTTTATCTTTAGATTTCAACATAAACATCAAGTTCAGAGTTAAACTAGATTCAAGGGGGCAACAGGATAACATACACTGTAGTGTATTTCTGGGGACAGTTATTTAACTTAATCTTAGGAAAACCTTTTCTTTAGAGCTGAGATTAAAATTTAAGGTTTATATTTGTATAGATTTGAGTTGAGTGGGGGAGATTTTTAAAAGTAGGTCAGTGGTTACCAGACTTACCAAATTTTAGATGCATGGAAGAACTGTAAATTCCCATAAAGCTAATCTATTCATTGACCCCCACCATTATGATAGAGATCATATGGTGACTAATGCAAGATGAAACTCTCAGCTTGGAAAGTAACAAGGAATAGGATGTAAGTATGAGCTTCTGTTTTTTATTATATTTATGGATGCCCCCTCAGAAAAATATGCAAAGGGGTAACTGGCTTGGAAATGGGTCTTTGTGCATAGTAAATCCCACTCACGAGTTTTGCCTATTTAAAGCTTCTCTTGAAGACAGTGCATCTGTGAATGTTCGCTGGTGTTGAAGGTGATGCTTACAGATGGTGATATGCAAACATTGCATGGAATGTATTTTGATGTTAGAGGTAATAAAGTGTTGCTGGTTCTTACTCATAGACTGAGAGATCTTAAATTCAGTGAAATGTTAAGTGTTCCTTTTTTATTCAATCTTATTTTTTCTTATTGCTTTCAAAATCCCAAGTTGACAATTATTGCCAATGAATCAATGCTGCTGAACACTTATTATCCAGATGCCCAGCCCTATCTCATGTACACAGTGCTTTTTCAGAAATTAAATGTGTCTGAAAGCACAAATGCGTAATTCTCCCAAAAGAAATTTTGAGAGCTGAAAAGGTGGTCTTTGAGAAGTAGTTTCAGAGGAATACTTTTGGTTGTACAATGTTCAAATTGAGGGCTGAGTAAGCTTAAAAATGGTATATAGTTGTGTGTGTGGTTTACCCCCTTTTTATTTTTATTTATTTGTTAAACCCTGTCATGTTATTATTAAATTGTGAGGAGATCATGTTTTTAAAAACTAATTTAAAATGTGTTTGCTTCAAAGTTTGAGAATCTGTCAGGCATTTCACTGCCTTAGTATTATTTCACTGGGGGGAATGCTTTGAATTTCCAAAATGTGTTTTAAAAATAAACAATCAAAATGGAAACCAAAAACAGTTCTTTTTATTGGGTGATGTGATTAAAGGGGATGTTTGAAACTCTAGTAACAAAAAATGAGCTCAGTGAACCTTTGCATGTTTTGGTATGAGTTTATTAAATAACCACGGACTGTCAGGGAATCAGCGTGGCAGGGGGCGTCCATTTACAGCACGGATGAGTCTGAAGAGAGAATAAGGTAAGATTTATGATTTTTTAATCTGCCCTTTCTTCTTCATTACTTTCTTACATCTCTTTAGGCTCACTTCATTTTCTTTCTCCAGTCTTTCTTAAAAAATACACATATATATGCTATATATATATATATATTCACACACACATACATATATATATATATCTCATATATGATCTTTTAGAAAAACATTTAGTATGGACTAGGTTTGCTCACTTTTTCGTTTATTTAGAACCAAACTTTTGAAGTGAGGTCTGAAACAAATTGTTATTTACATCGCAAATATAAGTAGCACAGTGAATAAGCAAGAGTAAAAAAATTGAGGAATTCTACAAATGAAATTAATATGGAAGAGCTAAAATAATCTGTAAGTATCTATTATCTCAGAAATAAATTTCTTTATAAGTGTATGACACTGAGGTAAGTTTTATGTAGTCTAGCCTCATATTACAATATAAATTTTTATGTTTCATTAGAACTGTTTCAAAAATGAGATTTTTGCCCCTTTAATAGCTTTCAGTTTCTGTCCTCTTTCAACCATTTCTTATTTCTTCCTTTCGTAGTTTCAATGTATTCAGTATCGGCTTTGCCTGCATTCTACTTTGATACAGACTGGCACAGCAGCTGAATATATTGACCTCTCATACATTAGCTTTTCTTTCATAATCCTCTATCAGTTCTCTGATCCATGAGCAAGAGAAAGAGTATCTAACAGGTAAGATTGTTTTTTAAAGTTGTTTTAAATGCTTTACATGACTGAGAAAAGAAAAATGCACATTTTATTATTGCAGTTTAAATTTCATTTCGGTGGAACTAAACATGGAACCAAAGAGATAAATGTGTTTTGTTTTGTTTTGCTTTACCTGTTTGGGGTAATTTTTTTTTCTTAGTTTGCGTAGAAACCGTGTGGTACACTGGTAATCTTGTCAGGGTACAAACTTGGTCTGACATTGTTATTTGGTTTATTTGTGAACCATGTACTTGCTCTTCCTCCCAGAAACATAGCTTGTAGGCAAGGTTAATCCAGTGTTGGCGATCCATGTCCTAGCACAGCATCTGTAAGTTAATACACAATCATTCCTTCCAAGGATGGATTTATCATTGTAAATATATTTTTATTGTCTTGCAGGCATAATGGTCATAAATATATTGCTTTTAAATATTTTTAATGAAAATATTACAATTATTTACATTTTGCTTGAAGTGAGTGATTTTCGAACTTTTTGTATTTGGTGGGCTGTCCATCTTGTCATGGTGGGAGTAAATGTTACCATACATCAGAAGGCAGATTTTGGCTGAATTCAGCTTGTGTTTCTTTTGGAGGGTGGGCAAACCAGAGGGCAGAGATTATGTAGTTGCATTACAGTGACCTGACTCTCCTCCCCCACCTGCCCTTTAAAATCCTTAACTAGTAACCTTTAGGTAATGGGGAATCTGAGGTTATAATTAGCATCAATAGTCTTCCTGATTTACAGAAATTCATAACGGGCAGAATTAAATTTTAGCCATGTGATTGTATTTACAGAAAGTATTGTGAACCACTACATTCCTCATGGTCATTTTGGTTATTACATAGTCATTGATTGGTCAGCCACACTTGACACAATCTCCCAGCATCCAAGATTGGAGATTCCTGGTCTGTGTAGAGTATATGGTTTTGCACGAAATCTATCTAGTCTTGTGATTGATTCAGTTTAATTTGTCAAGTTAAACCACAAGTATTTAATATTAAAGTACCAGTGGTTTGGTGTTTTTGTTCTCAGTATTGGGCATTGCGCCGGGAAAAATCTCAATAGTGGAGCTACAGAGTTAACTCTAAAAGTACTTTTATTGGTTTCTAGAAACTGGAAGAAGAGAAAGGCAAAAAGGAAAAAGAAAGACAGGAAATTGAGAAAGAACGGAGAGAAAGAGAGAGGGAGCGTGAAAGGGAACGAGAAAGGCGAGAACGGGAACGAGAAAGGGAAAGAGAACGTGAACGAGAAAAGGAGAAGGAACGGGAGCGGGAACGAGAACGGGATAGGGACCGTGACCGGACAAAAGAGAGAGATCGAGATCGGGATCGAGAAAGAGATCGTGACCGGGACAGAGAAAGGAGCTCAGACCGTAATAAGGATCGGAGTCGATCGAGGTAAGGCTTTATAGAAGTTACCGTTTCCTTATAGCTTTAATAGAACTACAGGATAGCCCTCGGTAGGACCATTTGCATTTATGTGATGAGAGAATTTCCTTAGAGATAACAGTGTCACACACGGATAACATTGGTGAAAGTAAAAATTTTCAACTCTGTGATTAGCTTCTGTCTGAGGCCAATTTTTACAGAAACCCAGGACCCACAAGCTAACTATGTACTCTGTTTTGGGCAGATAGGATTCCCTGCTGTCTCTCTGGGTTTGTGGATAGTTTTTCTAGTTGCCCTTTCGTTGAGGTCCCATATACTGAGAAGTCAGCTCCAGCACCACTCCTTTTAACTCCTGGTGTATTTATTTGGTCCTGTAGCCCACTGGACTGCCACAACTTATCTTCCTGGCTTTAAACTTATTATGTATTTGTAGCTTCTGGTAATTTCACTTTTTACTTTATTTTTTTTTTAAAAATTTTTGTTAATTATATTGAATTCTTTTGATAAGTCATATCATTCTTGAGGAAAGAAGTAGAACAAAAATGAATAAGGGAATAGAGAAAAGAGGAGAAGGACAGAAGAGAGAAAAGCTCACCTTTTTTAAAGCTGGTTTTAAAATATATATTACTGTGTTGCAGTTTTCCACTTTAATCCACCATGTTGCCGAAACTGGAAGTTCAGTCTTTAGTGGTCATTAACCTTACCTTCCATCCTTCCCTGATACAGCCATTATTAAGAATTTAACATGTGTAAAGTCAGTACTTTTGTCCAGGTCCAGTGGCTCATGCCTATAATCCTAGCAATTTGGGAGGCATAGGCAGGAAGATTGCTTAAGACCAGGAGTTTGAAAAACAACCTGGGCAACATAGTGAGACCCTGTCTCTCCAAAAAGTCAATCTTTTAAAAGGTTCATGACGTATGTATTCATAAAAAGTGTATTGTATGTGTGTATGTAATTGGATCCCTGACATTTTATACACACACACACACACACACACACACACACACACACACACACATATTCTGCTGTTTGGCTTTATCACTGTGAATTGAATATTTAAGAACTTTCAGTGTTCATACATATAGTTCTAATTTATCTGTGCAACATACCAAGATTCTCTTTGTCTCCATGTTTGCCAACAGTATATTCTTTGAATCACTAACATTTAACATGTTCATTAGTCCTTCTTAATTCTTTTGGGAATTAACAATTTTCCTTTTTTTTTTTTTTTTTTTGAGACAGTCTCACTCCGTTGCCTGGGCTAGACTGCAGTGACATCCTCATGCCTCGCTGCAGCCATCAGCTCCTGGGCTCAAGCAGTGTTCTTGTCTTACCCTCCCAAGTAGCTGGGACTACAAGCATGGGCTACCATGACTAACTAATTTTCAAATTTTTTGTAGAGAATAGAGTCTTGCTGTTGTCCAGACTGGTCTTGAACTCCTGTGCTCAAGAAATCCTCCTCCTTTGGTCTCCCCACCTGCTAGGATTATAGACGTCAGCCATGGCACCCAGCCAATTTCCTTTTTTGTATTGTATACTGTTATGTGATTGACTAGTATTTAGTATTTCATTAATATTTCATTATCATTTAGTTGTTTTTCAGTACTTTGTAATGTGTACTCAGGTTTTTGGTTTTGTTTTCTGACATAGTAAGCATTAACATTGACTTTAGAATGCAATTCATAATTTTGGGGTGGAATTATTAATACATCTTTCTGATGCGTTTACAATTCTACAGAAACTGAATGCTAAATTCTGGCTTGTGAGTTTGAAATATACATTATTTCAAAATGTATATTGTGGTCCTTTCCTTTGGTTTTTATGGGAAAACACAGTAGACTGAATTTTTTTTTTTTTTTTTTTTTTGAGACAGAATCTCACTCTCTTGCCTAGGCTAGAGTGCTGTGGCATCAGCCTAGCTCTCATGGCAACCTCAAACTCCTGGGCTCAGGGGATCCTCCTGCCTCAGCCTCCCAGGTAGCTGGGACTACAGGCATGTACCACCATGCCCAGCTAATTTTTTCTATTTTTAGTTGTTTGGTGGTTAATTTCTTTCTATTTTTAGTAGAGACAGGGTCTCGCTGTTGCTCAGGCTGGTCTCGAACTCCTGAGCTCAAGCAGTCCTCCAGCCCTGGCCTCCCAGAGTGCTAGGATTACAGGCGTGAGCCATCGCACCTGCCTGGCCAGTAGACTGAGTTTTTGGTCTCTCTATCTCTCTCTCTCTCTCTCTCT